ACAATTTGCATATTAGAATGCCAATGATACCATTCTCTTTTACTGCCACTCTAAACAATACTCGACAAAAAATCACTTTTATTTTCACTACTTTTTCTTCTCAGAGAGGTCTCCCTATAGACTTATTAATTTTGCATCTCTGAATTTCTATCTATACCCTCCCAAAATGGTTCTCAATACAAATATGAGGCAATAAATTAAATCTTTGCAAGTCTTTTATTAAGAAATAAAACAGGTAATCTTTGAATGTAAAGCTGTGTGCTGATCTTGATCTGAAATAAAATAATAATAACAAAAATGAGTAACAAGACAAAAGGATAGAACATGCAATAGAAAACATGGTGACAACTAATAACAGTACTTGAGGTGAGTAAATGTTATTTACCAAGAAGAATAAAGAATAATTTAAATAGTCGTGCATGCATAGAGGTAAATTTGCAATACTTACATTGGAGAAGTTCATTAGTTTACATTATGATCATCCCTGAAATGAATAATAAAACCATGAATTACACAAAGCAAATACTCATTRATAATGAACAAATCTATAAGTGCTTGTATGCAGTCCCACTCATTCTATGTTTTCCCAATATTTTAACTTGACCAAATACACAAAATTTAACAATCCTGGACAAAAACCTGTCAAATAAATTGGAATGTTATGATAAAACACTCTGATAAATGTTTACTAAGGWAATTAGTTTATATGTTAGTTTATAAGTGTTTATATGTTGTTTAGTTGTTTTATATATTTATATCATTTATCAATATTTGTAACATAAAATTCACTTTTTATTTGAAGGTCAAGTCCAGGACAATTCAACAAATCTAAGGTCAGTGAACAACTTTGGAAACAGATTCTAATTTTTCAATAAATTTGATTTTGTAAGGAAATGGTGRATAACATGCAGAATAAGCACAATTCAAATTTCTATAAATTGGYATAAATCADAACTTAATGTATTTGTGCAACTTACCATGCACTGACTTCTGAGTCTGATTTTGGTTATATCTTGATAATGCCTATAATGCAATTAATGGTTGAAAATATAGTTTTACATAAATAATAAGAAATATATCAGGGTCACCCCACTGCTCCCCCTGCCCTCCCCCCTCATCAATCTTTCCGTCACCCCCAACCTGTCAGAAATACTATGGTTAAAAAAAAAACAATAAACAACAACAAATAAGCAAGCAAGAAATGGATAAAAAGAATATGAACGATTCAAAAGAAGTCATATAAGTAAGTAAATGAGATAAGTTTAGCCGCGTGAAGACGATGCGACCGGGAAAGAAATAACTTNACGTCATTTGCACGCGTCAGCATTTCACCGAAAGGTTACCGAATGGACTCGGGCGGCTTTCGTAAAGTGTTCGATCGAACATTCTTTGCAAGAGCTCCGAGGATCAACTTTTTCCGTAATTTCAACTAAAAAAAACTTTTCAAAAGTGAACTAAAAATGTCGGAAAGAGTAAAAGAAATGAAGAATGATGATTATATAGAGGTGAGACAAAAAATACATAAAAAACAGCAACTGGCAAATCGTCTTTCTAAAACGTTGTCACACATTCACTTACACACTGAGCGATATACAGTATAATAATTCTAAATCAAAATGCTATAACATGAATGTCCGTCAAAAACTTCCAGATGAAGCTACTTATTAAGCTTATAGTTAGCTTAATAATTTGAACTACCATAAAAAAAAGAACAGTGACCTCTATTCTATCTAGAGTAGAATCTGAACTTTTCAGAATCTTCCCGAATCTATACCCAGCTGTTCCAGAGTAAAATCGCTGAAAACCATACCGTGTTCCAGAGTAAAATCCTACACTAGCTTGCGTGTAGACCGATTTTTTACCCCATGAATTTTCATCCAGCATCAATAATTCCGGAATTCAAAAATGCGTTGAAATCGATACCCTGTTCCAGAGTAAAATCGCTGAAAACGATACCCCCTGGTTGGCGGCACGTCACCGTATAGCGAATATAGCCCCACCCCACCCCCGGGAGAATCTTCTAACGTGACAATTTTATCAAGGGGTAACTAAATAGTTTTATGCCGGGCTACATGGGCTTTATGTTATGAACAACATTGGAAATAATTATATAAAAAAACAGTTAACTTTTTCTGCTCAGAGGGGGGCTACAGCACCCCTTTGCCTTCCCTGGATTCACCTGTTTTTATAACCACACCTAAAAAAAAAACAAAGTGATATTTGGTCAAATACATTAAGCGAGTCTTGCAAATTGTTTTTTTTTGTATTTGCCCCTCAAAATTTAAATGGATCACTCATTAAAACTACAACTACAAACATTAATTGCATCAGGTGCCCTAGAATAATTGAAAAGTTGTTTAGGATGGGTTGGGGTTGGTGGTTGAAAAGACAAATTGATATTATCCCATCTTTCTACTAAATGTCAAGAAGCTCATGGCAGACAGTATGCTCCATTAGATGACTTAATAGGTTAATGCAGGGATATTAGAGAGATTATTTGATTTTTTTCGCTACAAACTGGTAATTTTGCACATTACCTATTCAATACCACTTAAGACTTATAWTTTTTYGTGCAAAATCTTCTCTTGTGAATAATACAATGTCTGTGGTGCAGTTTTTTTGTGTGGAATGATTATAAGCAAACATACAATTTATTAAGTAGAAGGCTAAATAATGGTGTGATAACACAAAATCGAAGACTTGTATTTCTTGGAAAATATAATTAAAATTGATTGAAAMATCATTGCCTCTTGGTATCTATGATCAGGAAATAAGTCTACATACAGGCAGTTTTGTGATTTTGTTTAGCTCCCTGTTTTAGTAGGAGCTATAGTCGTASCATGTCATTATAGTCATTGGACTATAAAAATCCAAAAAATTGGTTCACTATAGGTAAGTAGACTTAATCGGCTAATGGCATTGCTATGTACGTTGCCACCCAATTAAAATCCTGTGCGAAAAAGAACTTTTGTTTCTACGAATTCAACTGTGAAATGAAAAGTCAACTAACATTGAAACTTACTCCCGGGTGGTTTTAATTGGCTGATTAGGTCTATTATTGTTTTTGGCATGTCCATTACATTGTGTTTAGTAAATTTATTCAAAAAATCAATAACACTGAAATAAACCATTTTTTTTATTCTCATTGACAGTCTTTCAAGTGTGTGCTCGTTCAGTGCCTTTTTGTAGTTATTATATATACTAGTAGTATAAATTATTAATTTTGCAAACCCAGAAGTAAATTGAAAAAAATCTTGTGCAGATACGGAATGAGATTTAAAAAAGAATAGTTTTGATGCTTGAGGCACTTACACTTCATCTATTATTGGATGGTATTTATCATAAAAATATGTATTAAATATGTAAATTGAAAGAATTCTTGTGCAGATAGAATGAGATTCCAAAAAAGAACAGTTTTGGTGCTTGAGACACTTACAGTTCATCTATTATTGGATTGCATTAATCATAGAAATATTGTATTTTTGGCATTATCAAATNATGTAAATAAGCTTGGATTTCTATATTTTACTGCATGTTTGCTGCTTTCTGTAACTATTTTCTAAAATAGCTGCCTGTCAAGTTTCCTCCCTCCTCATCTGCACTTAAATTTAAAGCACACCAATTTAAAGAATTAAATGTAAAAGCAAACAAAAAAGGGATAAGTACTGTAACATGATGCACCAAGCAAAAATAATTATGTACTTAGTAATGGCACTTGGCATAAACAATTAGAAAACACAACTGTTCTGGTACTTACCTTAATGTTCTGATTATACACCTCTAATTTTTCTGTCATTTGCTCCCTGCACGAAGTGTTTTATAGGCTGCAGAGGACATTGAAAAAAATAAATAACACAATTAACTGTTTATTCAAGTGTTCATGGCGTTCATTGCTCTAATTGGTAGACAAGTGTACTCTCTTACTCACTAGAGTGATCACACTTAATCTGTGCAACTGTACAAAATCTAAGTAGTACTAATTTGTACTAAAAGTGGACCTGAAGCATTGAATGCTCCATTTGCATCAATTCAATTTAATTTGCATACTGCGTGCATGATTTACTAAATACAAGTTCTTCATTATGTAGTTAACATAGCACTAATTTAGTTTGTGTACAGTTGCACGGATTAATTGCTGAGGGAGGAAAATGTGAGGACCCAGAGAAAATTCCTCATGGCAAGGGAGTCAACACATCAAACAAACTCAACCTTACGTATGGTCTGTGCCTGGGAATCTAACCCAGACAACAGTCAGGGTGATGAAAGACCAGCAGCTTTTAAAAGTTGGTACTAGGTCATCCATGCCACCCCATGGATACACTTCATACACAATATTTAATTAACAAGAATGATGTAAGAAGTAATTTCTGTACACCACTATCTTATAGTGTAAAAAAGCATTTGCTTCAGGGAGCTATCAGGTTTCAAATACTTCTTCACAATCATGATAAAAAAATGCAAATTAATTTTTTGCAAATCGCCAGTGAATTGGCTTGAAGATATTACAGTATTACTAGTAGCATAACTAATAGCATTTATTAACCCTTTAACATTGTAGTTACCTGTCCAATTGTTTTCTTAAATATTGGATATACATGTATTTTCTTATGTGGATATATGATTAAATATATATGCAGGTAATAGAACTCTATACACAGCCCAATTAACTTTTGCTTGATCCTCAGAATTTTCCTCATCCAATTTCTATGTTCGACAGCATTGAGTCCTTTTACATATAATTATAATTACTTAGATTATGATCCAAAGATTTAATATGTACATGCACTATGGAAGCAAGCTTATAAAAAAATGTAAACAAGCTTCAAAACCTCATTTGTACCACGTGCAGTAACTTGAAACCAGAGNTTCGCGAATTGAAGAACAACAAACAGTGCTTTTCAAAATTATGAAAACTGCAAACCTTGGGGGCGGCTTTGAATATTTTCAGAAGGAGTGCAGAGCTGATTATTACTTAACATTTATTCCTGATAACAGGGCTGATTAACAAAACATTAGGTCTTTATCAATGATACAAACCTAACGTTTTATTAATCAGGGCTGTATCAGGAAAACTGAGCCCACACTCTCCTGAAAATATTCAAAATACAATCTAAACTTGCATGCAATCAAACACAAATAAAACACACTGAAAAATCAATGTTGTAGCTATGTTTCGTTTCCTCAAGATAACAATTTATTCCACGTACAATAGAGTAAATTCTGGTCTTTGTCGGATAAGCATCACCATTTTTCTTTGTAACATCTTGTATAAATTTGACTGCCCATCCAAAAAATCAACTACTCAGTGTTCATGTTATCGAGACTAGTGTTAACATCTTGAAACTAGTGTTCTCATTTATGACTTTCTTGTTTGCATGGTCTTTTTGCAAGTTAAAAAAAAAGATTGCTGCCAATTTTGTTGAATACTTTGTGGAACACTTGCTTGGACAATAGCGCTTTCCTCTTGTTGAGTTTTAAGTCTCTGAAATCGATAGTATAACTTTTCTTATTTGATTCAAAGAAGATAGAGTTTGGCTCAAACAATGAGAGAACAAAATTATGGAGTAAATGATGTTATTTACTTCAATCAATTTCTTTGCAAGAATTTTGTAAAATTTACACCAACAAAATGCATTGCTTCATGTCGATTATTTACACCAAAAAATACATTGTTTCATGATTATTTAAAGTGTGGCTCAATATTCAAGTTTATCTACTAAATTTTCATGTCATTTTTGATGTTTGACAAGTTTCATTCAAGTAGCCTCTTTCAGATCATGAATATAAAATGTGGAAACTGTTTGTTAATAATTTAAACTTAGTTAACATGTAACCCAGTACTASCTGCCTCATGGACGAGTGGCCGGCGTCTAATCCAGCCCCCCACCAGTATCACATACTGGTGAGAAGGGTATAGCATGTACCCYGTAGGATTAAAAACAAGACCTGTCAAAAGGATGAACAAGCTTATTATCAGAGAAAATGTCCATCATGCACAATATTACTGTTATCAGTTTAGATGATTTGAATAAAACATGTGATTAAACTTATGTAATTAAATATTTAATTGTATGAGGAAGTAGCTGATCCCATTAAAGAGTGCKCAATACACATAAAGTGTAGAGCTAGTTATATATATGATATCAAAGAGGCAAGATCAAAAGATCAAAAAATCAAAAGATCAGAACTCGTCTCTAAATGCCGACACGAAAACAAATTCTACCTGAAGAACACTTGACACCTCTACAGCCTATTGTATTCACACCTACGCAGTTTTAATTAATAGTATACTCTCCTTTGTAATTTTTACCTTCACACCTATTGTTTCCAACATAACTATCACATATTGTATGTAAATAGCCTAGCACTTAGCCTTTTGTTCTATACCATGTATATATATCTAGATTATAGGAATGTTTATCATTAAATACTGTCTGATGAGTGCGTAGCACGAAACTCGGAGTAACAGCAAAATCTTGCCTCTTTGATATTATATATATAATTAAATATTTAACATTTTTATTAGTAATATTCTCAACCTGTCAACATCTTTCCTCTGTCTGCACTCTAGTGAGCCTTTTTTTATGTAAAGCATCAAATGCTGCAGATACTGTATCAAATACTGCCAAGCAAAGACTTAATAATAGAAATCTAGTACATAGTCCAATTAGGCAATTAGCTTTTGCACTCCTTGGAATTTTCCTCAACCAATTATTTCTTAATTTGGACTAGAGTGTGGGAGTCGTAACCTACCTAGCCAAGTTCCTATCACAACTCAGWATAGTTGTGGAACCATTTGTTCGTCGTCTTACAGACAAACATGCAGCCTTCGACTGGCTACCACAGCACCAAGCAGCATTCACAAAGATCAAGACAATGATGACTGAAACACCAATACTGCAATACTACGATGTCAAGAAAGATGTAGTAATAGAATGTGACAGTTCAGATGTTGGACTTGGAGCCGTGATCACTCAGGATGGAAAGCCCATTGAATATGCGTCAAGAGCACTGACACAGACCGAACGTAATTACGCCCAGATAGAAAAGGAGTGTCTTGCAATTGTTTTTGCAACAAGAAGATTTGAACATTAYATACTGGGTAAAGACAAKGTCAAAGTCTACACTGACCACAAACCACTGGTAACAATCTTAAGAAGCCAATTCTTACAAGCCCAAAGAGATTACAGAGAATGAGACTTACATCACAGAAGTACTCACTTGGTTTAGAATACAAGCCTGGACCACAGATGTTTATCAGTGACACACTATCACGAGCATCATTGCCAAACAAGTCCATTGACAAAGAAACACCTCACTATCAGATTTTTCAGTTRAAKSAAGAACAGACACTGTACTCAGAGTATGCAGATGACAATGCAGAAGACTTGCTCTTTGTTACAGATACAAGACTAGATGCAATTAAGAAGGAGACAGCTAACTACGCAACACTACAAACACTAATGCAATGCAATGCAATAATTAAAAAGTTCTGTATTTGGCAGTTGTTAAAGCTGACTACTTCAGCTGTCAATTCTGCCTAAGTCACATTACAATCATTTTAACTTGGATGATTCATTATGGTATTATTAAGATATCAAAATTCATGTAGTGTTAGGTCCRACTATGAGGACTGCATGGGATTTCTAGTCAAAKTCCCGAATGGTTCTGAAACAAAAGCTACTCATGACAAATTGTCTTTGTCTTTCTCTGCTATTCACGGCAATTTTAATGTGCCTAATTCATAAGATTTATAAGAATGTCATCTTCCAAGGAATCACATCAGAAACTCTGTACTATAAGACGGTACATATATACTGGCCAGTTGGGGATCGATTCGTGAGGCAGTCATGTCATTTTTCACTACTAAATAAATTCTATCCAATGCTTTTATTATTATTAGCTAGTAGTAGTTAGAAAAAGGTAGAAGTAACTGGAAAATACGGTAGAAGCAACTGGAAACAAGGTAGGAGTATCTGGTTTTCCAGTTATTGCATGTAGTACAAATTACAATCAGAGATTGGCTGGATACCTCGTAAATAATTAATGAGTATGAGAAATATTTTTAAGACATTAATGTACTTTCCCTAATACATGAACCTTNTAGTCCAATTAGGCAATTAGCTTTTGCACTCCTTGGAATTTTCCTCAACCAATTATTTCTTAATTTGGACTAGAGTGTGGGAGTCGTAACCTACCTAGCCAAGTTCCTATCACAACTCAGTACAGTTGTGGAACCATTTGTTCGTCGTCTTACAGACAAACATGCAGCCTTCGACTGGCTACCACAGCACCAAGCAGCATTCACAAAGATCAAGACAATGATGACTGAAACACCAATACTGCAATACTACGATGTCAAGAAAGATGTAGTAATAGAATGTGACAGTTCAGATGTTGGACTTGGAGCCGTGATCACTCAGGATGGAAAGCCCATTGAATATGCGTCAAGAGCACTGACACAGACCGAACGTAATTACACCCAGATAGAAAAGGAGTGTCTTGCAATTGTTTTTGCAACATGAAGATTTGAACATTACATACTGGGTAAAGACAAGGTCAAAGTCTACACTGACCACAAACCACTGGTAACAATCTTAAGAAGCCAATTCTTACAAGCCCAAAGAGATTACAGAGAATGAGACTTACATCACAGAAGTACTCACTTGGTTTAGAATACAAGCCTGGACCACAGATGTTTATCAGTGACACACTATCAAGAGCATCATTGCCAAACAAGTCCATTGACAAAGAAACACCTCACTATCAGATTTTTCAGTTAAATGAAGAACAGACACTGTACTCAGAGTATGCAGATGACAATGCAGAAGACTTGCTCTTTGTTACAGATACAAGACTAGATGCAATTAAGAAGGAGACAGCTAACTACGCAACACTACAAACACTAATGCAATGCAATGCAATAATTAAAAAGTTCTGTATTTGGCAGTTGTTAAAGCTGACTACTTCAGCTGTCAATTCTGCCTAAGTCACATTACAATCATTTTACCTTGGATGATTCATTATGGTATTATTAAGATATCAAAATTCATGTAGTGTTAGGTCCGACTATGAGGACTGCATGGGATTTCTAGTCAAATTCCCGAATGGTTCTGAAACAAAAGCTACTCATGACAAATTGTCTTTGTCTTTCTCTGCTATTCACGGCAATTTTAATGTGCCTAATTCATAAGATTTATAAGAATGTCATCTTCCAAGGAATCACATCAGAAACTCTGTACTATAAGACGGTACATATATACTGGCCAGTTGGGGATCGATTCGTGAGGCAGTCATGTCATTTTTCACTACTAAATAAATTCTATCCAATGCTTTTATTATTATTAGCTAGDAGTAGTTAGAAAAAGGWAGAAGTAACTGGAAAATACGGTAGAAGCAACTGGAAACAAGGTAGGAGTATCTGGTTTTCCAGWTATTGCATGTAGTACAAATTACAYTCAGGGATTGGCTGGATACCTCGTGAATAATTAATGAGTATGAGAAATATTTTTAAGACATTAATGTACTTTCCCTAATACATGAACCTTAATATTTCAATCTGATAAAAAAATTATGAAAGGAATGGTCATGCAAAGGTCTCGAGTATATATCCTATACCATCAAAAATCATGTGTAAGGCATGTGTTCTGATACATGATTATTAAATGTAATGCTACAACAATAGACTTTAACTAATATAAAAAGCTGTCTTGTGAATAATTACCGACCGTGTTTRGTACTTGACTTGAGYGAACATTTTCCACACWGTTTAGACTTGTTAGCACATCAAAGTAGCACAACACAGAAACCTACAAAAAAAWTCATATTAATGTCAATGCAATAACATCTTAAAATTAACAAATTTCTCATACGTGCCATGGGAGGCTATCATAAATTGGTTGTTTTTAAAACACACAAAAAAGTATAACAATAGAATGATAATAATCCCAGGAGAAATTGTGGTATGTAATTTTATTTACATGTAACAGACTGCTCTTGACCAATCAGATTAATACATAGCACATTATATTTTGGCATCCCACATCATATGCACATGAAGTAATGTACTACGGTATGTTTGTAAAATGTGAAAGTTGCAGCCAGGATCCAGAATAAATTAAAACTGTTTTTGTAGTTTAAAAAACAAAACTTTTTACTAGATGTTCAAATCTGAACATACATCAGTAGTTTACAAACTATAGTTTAGTAATGTTTGTTGATTGACTGCTAGGATCATATATCTCTATAATATATAATGGTATATATGTAGTATTCTTTATATCAGTATGTTTTCTTTATCAGATAATAATGGTAATGCATGTGACCACATTTAGGCTTATCAAATTGGCCTTAGCTCAATATCACATATCTGGATCCAGTTAACTTTAGCTAATGGTTTGTCATCTGATATGTGGACACAACTTACTTTTGTTGGTCTTCTTCTAGTATTCAAGCTAAAACATCCCACTGTCTTAATTAAAACATAGTTAATATAACTATGATTAAAAGCAGCAGGAAACAAAAATAAGTAAAGCATGTAAGGTTACAAGACAAAAATAAGCACATCACTCACCTTTTCGTTGGCATTTTRCACATTGGGTTGGAAKTTTTCTCATTCAATTTTAAGAATCCACTTTTTCTAACGACATTCGAGTAAAAATCGCTGCTAATACAGACGAACGGACGTGACATTGCGGTCGCCATCTTGAATTTGAGATAATTTAAAGCCTCGCTATCGAGTTGTTGCATATATTTACATGATTTAAAATAAAAAAAGTAACTGAAACAAAAAGTTTCGCTGTTTATAAGAATGATTTTAATTGAGTTGCTCTAGAATTCCCCCAAAACGATGTAAATTTGATGTAAAAATGTTGTAAATATCACTTACATCAAATTTACATCGTTTTTACATCGTTTTTACAAACGTTGTAAATTTAATGGAAATATGATGAAAATCAAACGATGTAAATATCGCGTAAATCCAAATTTACACGATATTTACATCATTTTGGACAGTTACACGATATTTACAACCTTTGTAAATATAGTGTAAATCAAATTTACATACTTTTTCCATTAAATTTACAACCTTCGAGGAGCGCGATTTTTTCCAGTGCTACGTTCATTTTGGGTTGGTGCTCCATCGCCATGATTCAGTGAACGCCGACCAAAGCATTTAGTGACAATCAATGAAAAAGCTTTCCTCAAACGATCCATCACGCTCGATGGGATTGATGAACTGTGCAGTCTGNTCCACATTGGGTTGGAAATTTTCTCATTCAATTTAAGAATCCACTTTTTCTAACGACATTCGAGTAAAAATCGCTGCTAATACAGACGAACGGACGTGACATTGCGGTCGCCATCTTGAATTTGAGATAATTTAAAGCCTCGCTATCGAGTTGTTGCATATATTTACATGATTTAAAATAAAAAAAGTAACTGAAACAAAAAGTTTCGCTGTTTATAAGAATGATTTTAATTGAGTTGCTCTAGAATTCCCCCAAAACGATGTAAATTTGATGTAAAAATGTTGTAAATATCACGTACATCAAATTTACATCGTTTTTACATCGTTTTTACAAACGTTGTAAATTTAATGGAAATATGATGAAAATATGATGAAAATCAAACGATGTAAATATCGCGTAAATCCAAATTTACACGATATTTACATCATTTTGGACAGTTACACGATATTTACAACCTTTGTAAATATAGTGTAAATCAAATTTACATACTTTTTCCATTATATTTACAACCTTCGAGGAGCGCGATTTTTTCCAGTGTCTTTGCAATAAATCTTCTCGTAACCTTGATGTAAAAGAATTTTCTTTATCCCTACAGTAAGCTAAACAGAAACTCTTCAAGTTCATTTATAATACCATACGGCAGTAATTCCTGGGCTTGACTGAAATATTTTCTCAAAATCCTCTTTCAAATATGGTCGTAATGAGTAATTCCACATAGATTCTTTTGTTTCTTGGTGTTTAACTAAAGAAATATTGCTTTCAAAACACAAAGCATGAAAGCTGCGTAGCAAACTCAATATTTCTGCTGAAATGGTCTCTTGATGGGTTTTAGAAGATTGCTCGTCCATATTACAATCTCCGGATTTGATTAATCAGTGATGTTGTAACAAATTCTCAATATTACTTGGAAGTCAGAGCGCAGAGTGACTATAACAGCCCAGATTGAAGCAATAAATAAACGCTAAGACGAAACAATAGAGAACAAAAGAACTATTGTTCGGAGAAGTGAAAGGCCCACAAAAATGAATATATAATAGCCCACAAAAATATTGAATATATTAGCCTACAAATATTCATGAGTGCACACAGATTTTCACCACAAAACCCACAAAAAAATCTGGGCCCAACTGCTGACTCTATACTACTGTTCTCAGTATTTAGTGATTTATTGGCAGGTTTTAAGCGCATTTTCAAACAGTGGTAATTTTAGATGTTCCGACTTTTAGTTTTAGAGTAAATCGTGGAAAACTGAAATTACCACTGCTTGATAATGCGGTAAAGGAATGTGAGGAGATTGCTCAAGAAGAACGTCAAACAGCGTGGAATCGGTGCAGCTTGTGACCCCCGGGATAGATCTGTTATAAGTAGATTTTGGAAGCTTGCATTAAGTGCTTAAAATTGTAGAAAGTGAGGCAAGTATCAGGAAATCGAGGACAGTGAAGGTAATATTTTGAAATCAGATGAAGTAAAAGGAAACGCCTTTCTCAAACGCTATCTGGTCAGTTACAGAACCAGCGTACATGTATACAATAGAATGATATGGCGAACCAAAAGTAACTGAGGCAGAAGTGAGGAATATCATAACATGCGAAAGACACAAAACCTGTTTTATTTTTTATTCTGCGCGTTGTAGTGTAGTGTGTAGTGTAGTTCCAGTATATCGTTATCGTATAGCTTATTTAAAAAAAACACCTGATAAAGTGGCGTACTCGCTGATTTGAAGTCAATTGCAGATGATGCATTGCCTGCTAAGTGAAGTGGTAGAAGTGGTCAATGGAACACTCAAAGAAGGTATAAGTGTGCACGTAGCCCAGACAACAACAAAGGACTGAGTTGAAATTCAGTCTCGCTACTCAGGGCATAGTTATAGAGGGAGATGGTTATGAAAGCCGGCGAACTTCAAAGAGAGAACTCTTTGTTTACTTTTATGGTATGTCAGGGCGGATCCAGCTTTTATGGGGGGGATGCTTTTGTCGGTAATATATAGCTAAAAAAACTAAGTATAGCAGATGGAACTTATCATTTTTGTTAGCTGCGTATTATCCAGAGCAAGAAAATTATGCACAATTTGACCGGAAGCAAATTGACTTTTATTGCAACGTAGTATCTTTGGATGTGGCAGACATGTTGTGTATGCTATTCGTTTACTCGATAAAAGTACAACAGGAGTATAAATACTGGTATATAAAAAAATTTCGTCGTCCAAAAAGCGTCCACACCGAAAGCACCTCCCTTGGATCCGCCCCTGTTGCTGTTTACTTCCACGCATGCGCAGTACAAAATGTCTCCCGAAATACTGCTCTCTTTCCTCAATCTCGTTCCCAGAGCTGCCGGACGTATTTTACCACCACTGCGATCCACTGCTCATGCAAAAAATCAATATGAAATCATGGAAGTTTGTGCTTTTTGACATTTTATAGCTTCATTCAAGATTAGGATAAATGTACTAGTATATGGTAAGTAAATATTGAAATGCGAAAACGAAATTGATGAGCTTATTTGTCAACCGGTTGAAAGGCATTTTCAGAGCTGGTACGGTCGTGATAGTTCCGGTATCTGGTGCTAAAAATATAAGAACTTAAAGCTGGTATGGTGAATTACAGAAGACTGGAATTCTGCAAAATATCCGCAGTGCAGTTAAGAGTGCCGAGAGACAAAGAGTTTAAGTTATTCTTATCTACAGTAAGCTTACAAAAGCTCAGACATGTGGTTTTCCTGTGATACAATGTCGTTCAAACTGAGAGCAACGTGTTGTAATCCCATCACCCAGAACCTGATTTTTCCAAATATAATGTTTCCAAAGTCGTTCCTCCGGATAGCAAATCCCTCGACTTTTTACCTAAGCTTGATTGCATGATCAAATATTTGGATCTGCTGTTCTTCCACTGACTATTTTTTAATGAAATGTTTTGTTTTGTATTTCAGAGTTGATTTGAAAGATGTTTAACATTAGGTATTATAAAGTGATTGTAAAGAGATATAAATATACAATTATTGCCCTTGCATCGATATGGGTTTTTATTGTGTACTGGTATTCTAAGTCATTGCTTTCATATGTCAAGGTAAGATATATGTTATGGCTTGAATTTATAATCAGTAATGCAATTGTAACCAGCTTAATTTTTTAAAACTGGTTAATATTTTTTAAACTGGTTTGATTTTAAATACATTATTGAAACCTTGGGGATATCATAGGCTTTGGCTTTATATTGTATAATGAAGCGCAAAGTTCCTTGGGGTTAGGTTTAGGTTTAAAGATAGGGTCAGGTTTGTGTTAGATCATAAAGCTTAAAGTTCCTTGGGGTCAGGTTTAGGGTTAAAGATAGGGTCAGGTTTGTCTTAGATCATAAAGCACAAAGTTCCTTGGGGTTAGGTTTAGGGTTAAAGATAGGGTCAGGTTTGTGTTAGATCATAAAGCACAAAGTTCCTTAGGGTCAGGTTTGTGTTAGATCATAAAGCACAAAGTTCCTTGGGGTTAGGTTTAGGGTTAAAGATAGGGTTAGGAACTACTTTTTTCGTCCTTCTTCTGTTACCATATTTTCATTCAGGTACTTCCATTTCTTTCAAGCTATTGTGCTCTTGTCCCATAGAGACAAAGGTTGAACTTCTATCTTGTCAACAATATCTCCTTCTTCGACTCCCGGTCCATCGTCTGCCTTGCTTTTTAAGTTTAAATATTGTTTAGCTCAGTCATAAAATTCGTCGTCAATGTAGACCGTGATCAAGGAAGAATTTGTTTTTTGTTTGGCTTTCAATTCGTCAATGGAGTTATAGAAGGCCTCTTTGTTTACACAATCTTGTCTTGAGTTCGCCATGTTTGATTGCTGAGAGTACAGTCCATATGTGAATTTGCTAATTAATAAGCGGAAATAGTGTCAGAATAAATTAAAAGCGCAGATTTTTAATAAGATGTAAATACAATGCAATAATCCAGTTTCGAATTCTCCAATGCTCTGTGTTAGCCTCATTTGTGCGCAAAATATTCCTAATTGTGAGAATAAAAGTGTGAGATTTCAAATCAATTCCATTGTATTTCTTTTCAAATTCCATGCGTTTTCTCGGACTATCAATGAAACAAAAGAATACTTTGCGTGGTTTTGAGGCTAACACAGAGCAAACCAGAACTCGAAATCGGAGTATTCCTGTATCCCTTTTTAGAATGCTAGATATCCACTACAAGCTACAGCTGAAAATCAAACTAGTTTAAAAATTTCAAATCAGTTACAAAAATATAAACTGGATAATAAATTTGTAACTAATTATAAATTCAAACCATAACATATATAACAATATAATTGGCAACTAAACTAGAAAGCACTGTTATTAGCACACATCCTGCAATTCAGGTCTTTATTTCAATCATGGGTGGTTAACATCCTTGTGAGGATAAGTGATACCAACAGACCAAATAATGAAAATCATGGGACTGTATATCTCATATTTCTCTGAAATTACAAATTGAAGGGCTATATCTAGATAAAACAGGCTATATATATATATAATCCATAAAACTTAGGAAATTAAACTTAGAAATTTGTTTTGAGCGTCCCAAATGCAATTACTGAGTAAATAACAAATTGTTGAAAAAAGTTGATTGAGAAACCTCGTATTTTGGTTCAATGCAAACCTGGTGAAACAAACTATGGCCATATTAAATCGGGAAATGTGATCATTTATCATGTGACTGCTCTATGCTGCAGCCTAAGTAAGTGCTCTTTAGAAGAGTGTCTAGTTGCAACAAGACAACACTGCAGTAATTTCATACATTCTTTTGTCTTTTAGATTGAAAACATGGACCTTGGATTGATTGGTGACTTTTCCTGTGATAAATCGGTTTTACCTGATAAATGTGCATTCAACGTTCGCCCATTCCCCTACGGCAAGAAATATTGTAGCATGATGTCACAGTGTCAAGGATTTGTTTATAATAGTGGCCTCAACATGGTTGTACTAAAGAACACTGTTAAGGGTGCTGCTAAATATTCTCCTGGATTTGAACTCCATATTAAGTCATATTACCATGACTCAGTAAACATAACCTTAGAAGAGTGTGCTGCAACCATTGAAAAGGTAAAAAGATAATTATAACTGATTGAGATAAAAAACACAAAGTGTAAGGAATGATTCAAATAGAACCACATAGACTCTTGTATATTAATATCTTTACCATCTATAATATGGTTATACTTCAGGAAAGTACAAATTCTGGCCTGGCATGTAATTTACCAAAGATCAATCCATTTGATGAATCTCTGATGGGTTTGATTAAAGACAAACAACTTGACTGTAAAGGCACTCCTGTTACCCGCTATGAAGATGGAATACTTACATTCATGACTGATGGTATGCTCATAATGATGGCAGCCTATAGCCCCCTCTGCAGTCCGTTTCAAGCGTCCATTTTTAATAGCAAACTTGCGAGTTTTGCCTCAGTAGTCACATACAATGGAATCAAGACGATGTGCTGTGCATAAAGCTCTACCATCTAACAGCAGTATGTGGCCGCATTTGCTATATTATTACTCTCCTACTAACATGCTGCTGAAGGATAACTTCTCTAGATTTTAAAATCAGTCAATTGTGAAAAACTTTTGTACATTCACAAATGACTGAGTAATGACTTATGTATGGCGCCTCGTCTTGATTCCTTTGTGTGTGACTACTGAGGCAAAATTCGCCAGTCGGCTATTATAGATTGTACTTTTCCAGTTTTTGTATATTTTGGGTTCTCTGTAGAAAAATAAGGAAGAGAGAGGACTGGGGAAGGAAAAGCTTTTTTCACTTTTTCCTACCTTGTTACTAGTCTCTTTCTCTTACTGATCTAAGACAGGAAGCTTGTTCTTTCTAGAAGGAAAGAGACTGGGCAGCCTACTTGCTTTGCAAACTACAAAATGCTTTTTCTTTATCAAAATGAACTTCAATTGAAGTACCATATTTACCCATGTATAAGTCACACTTTTTTTCCAAAAAAATCGTTCCCAAATCGGGGGTGCAGCTTATCTACGAGAAGACTTGTAAAAATGCCCAATAATAATAATTTGCATAAATTAGCATTTGCGGTGCTACTTACTGCAGACAGGACATCAGTAATGTGAAAAGTTTGTTTTACACGGCRGGAACAGAAATTTTAATCCAAACTTCTCAGTATTAATATAAATTCTCCGAAAATCTAGCTCTGAGAAACACAAGCTTTAATATCTGCTTTAATATTTTTTTGAAATACGAAACGGTTTCGGCATGATCCTTATGTTTAGAAGTTTGGCAGCACGAGATTTATATCACTCAAGTTGATTACTAGTTTGCTTTTACCTTTTGAATGAAAAACAACTCTTTAAATATAGTATCAATTATCAATCTTAACAATTATGTCTCCAAGATCATCATACACCGTACGTCAAATAAACTGATTGTATACTGATTGTAATTGCATACAAAGTGCATGGATCACAGAAATCGAGTTTATTTTCCGTCTTTTTTTCCTCAAAAACACTCCTAAAACTCGGGGTGCGGCTTATCTACGAGAGCAGCTTATACATTGGTAAATATGGTATTTTTATGGGTTAGACATTGTTTTGTCTTGTAAGACATGAGGAGGACTGAGAAATGAAAAGTCATTTCATGTCATCAAGAAATATTGTTCAGTTCCTCAATTTACATCTGTTTTGAGCAATCTACAAATTAAATCAGCAGGAATACCAAAAATAAATAAATCTGCATGGCCATTGTCCAATCCAAAGAAAAGAAAAAAATCCCTCTCTGATATTACATGTAATAGTCACGCACAAAAGACCAAAACATTTTTGCCATTTTTTCCTGTAGGTAACAGCATTGATAAAGTCACTTATGAAACAATCACAAGAGAAAATCAAGATTTTGGTTATGGAGTTGGAAAGACAGGAACATTAACAAGAACACAGAACACTGCTGTCTTGAATGAAGACTCAGTTCGTGTAATTTACTATGAAAATAGTCAAAAACAAGTTGATTTCCATATGTCTATATCGCCATCCCAAGTTGCTGTATCACGACAAGGAGAGAAGCCTAATATTCCATTGGATATAATGGTTTTGGGATTTGATTCTACTTCGTTGTCACACTTTCAACGTAAACTTCCCAAAGTTAAGAAGATTTTACAGGAAGACCTTGAAGCATGGGTATACAATGGTTACAGCATTGTTGGTGATGGGACTACACCAGCTTTTCTTGCAATGCTTGCTGGAAAGGATGAAAAAGAGCTATCTGAAGCACGGAAATCCAAGTAAGCCCAAATCAAAATAAATAGAAAAATGAATAGATTGATCTCAAGCTCTGAAATTTATAATATATGGGGGCGAGATCACGGGGGTAGATCACTTGGGGGCAAGATCACCGGATACCGCTGCTTGCACCAGTATGAAGGCTACTGCAACTGACAGCTTGTGTGCTTTGTAATCCATAGAAAATCAAATTCAAATAATAATGATGATTAATACTAAACATTGAATGAACATAATTCCTATAGCATTGAGATATGGAGGATATTGCATTACGTGCAGAAATGGCTGCGAAATACAGATTTTATCTTCGAGTGCTGAAACGATCTCTCACAAGGTAGCGAAGATAAAATTTGTATCTAAAAGCGACCATGATATATTCTATTTATCATATAATTGCATATGAAAGTAAATCATGTCGTAAAATACCATTTTTCCTACTTTCACTATATAGAGAAACCTTGAATGTGTTATTTTAAGTAGTGAAAATTACAACTTCGTGAAATGGAGAAATATAGGTATTTCTAGGCTGCGATCCAAGTTTGACGGCATTTGAGTATAATATTCTGTGTAAAATCGAAAATAATTTTTAAAGAAAATCTACAGAAAATCAAGATGACTTTAACAACTATTTTATATTAAAGAAAGAAAAAAAAGTGCTCGAAACAAGATTAGAACCTGCGATCCTCTGTTCGATGCCGCTGTTCGACTATCATCTTGTTTCTAAAATTTAACAAATGCAGCTCGTAAATATTAATAAAACAAATTGCAACGATAAAAATCTAACATGACTAGAAAACTTATATTTCAGTTAAAAAAAGAAGGAAGGAAGAAAAAAAGAATTTTTCAGACGTGCTCAAGTTGAGGATCGAACCTTGGAACTCTGGATTATGGGTCCCTTGGATTGCTAAACTGCGATATGGAAAAAAATAAATGAGTAAAGTCGCTGTATTTTATAACCGTGTCGCAGGCCAACGGCCTTCAGCCTGGACACGGTAATGACTCACTTTCACCTCCCCCCTCAGATTGGTGGTCTATTCATTTTAAAATGCATGGCTTTATGACACTAAATTTTATCGTAGTCAATGTAGGGAATGCCCATATTTTCATATTACATGTAAAAAAAACATTTTAGAGAGACTGCTTCAAAGTTCATACAGCTAATGAAGAAATATTTCCCATTTAGTCATTTGCTTTTTTATATAAAATTAGTTCACAGAGAATCAGGCGCTTTTAAGAATTGCCTTTTACATGTAAATAGTTAGATATGACAGTGATTACACCATGAAGAGAATGTTATGGACAAGAGAGATCACATCCACAAAGTTAACATAATGGCAATTAGCAGAAGCACAATAAGGCTGCCACTGATATTTGTTTTTTTGTTTTCAGAAATGGTGATTACATTGACAAATGGCCATTTATTTTCAAGAAACTCCATCAACATGGCTACGCTACCTTTTTTTCTGAAGACCAAGCAAAGTATGCTAGTGTTCATTATCGTCTGAAGGGTTTCTATAAACAGCCTGTGGATCACTGGATGCGCCATTTCTGGTTAGCAGCAAGTGATCACACTAATGGAAAGGAATATTGGTGCTTAGGAACAGAGCCTGCTTACAGGAAAAGGTTTAGAAATATTAAGAGTTTTTACAAAGCTTACCCAAAGCAAAGAAAATTCTCCTTTTCATTCTTCACCATTGGCCATGATGACGTCAATGCTCTAGGTTACCTCCAAGATGACTTTGTGACATTTCTGAAGGACATGAAATCTAGTGGTTACCTTGACAACACATTTTTAGTTGTTATGGGTGACCACGGTATTCGATATGGTGCAATCCGCAAGACTATGTTGGGAAAACTAGAGGAAAGACTTCCTCTTCTTTCTATATCAGTACCTCAGTGGTTTAAAAACCAATATCCTGAGCATTCTCGTCACTTAGGGATAAATACAAATAGGTTAACTTCACCATATGATTTACATGCAACATTTCAGCAAATTCTCTCCAAAAACCACCAGAAAACATACAAGCACGGCCAGAGTTTGTTCACAGAGATAAGTAAGTCTAGAACATGTGATGAAGCTGGAAACCCAGAGCATTTTTGTCCTTGTGTAAACTGGAAGCCAGTGGATCCCCATCACAAGCACATTAAGCAGATAGGCCAGGAGACGGTGAACTTCATCAACAAGGTGATTATGTCCAACTTAAGATATTCTGGTTGTATCTGTGTTTGGACATTGTTGCTAGGTGGCACATAGCGTGTCCATCAAGACTGTCCATTCTTTGAATCCTGTTTATGGCTTTCCTTCAATTTCTCCCAAGGTCTTCTGTATGCTACCAAGTTATCTGTCAATAGTTTGTGTCCATTTCTCTATTGGCCACCCTCTGTTACTCTTTCTGTTATTAGGTTTCCATTTTGGTTGTATGGCCATGCATAAAAGAACTAAACGATAAGGCTTTTTCTATGTTTTTCTAAGTGTTTCATTCCATGTATAAGAAACTCATCTTTGCTGTCAATAAGTAGTGGTTAAAAATGTTTAGCAACTTTGGTTGCCATGTTGTCAATTTTATCAAACTGAGAAAAAAGTAGTATCTTTGCATGAAATATGAGGGAATTGCATAAGCTCTGCTACTCTATATGATATCTAGCATTGAGAGCAGAGTATTCCTCATTGAAACACTTGAACATTGACATCTTCACAAACAGCCCACATGTACAAAGACAGTTGAAAACTGATTGCAATAGAAAACAGCAATGACACTTTGAATGCCCTTAAAACCACCAGCAACCACCGAAGCCCTTGGTTTTTGCAAGATATTTAATGTTTCTCTCTCTCTCTCTCTTGCTATTGGAGCTTTCAGTGAACTTTATCATCTTTTGTTGTCAATACAAAATTGTACTAAATAAATCAATTCATCAATTCTGTTTTTAGCTTATCCAAAAGGAAAATCTTCAGAGCAAATGTGCAATGCTGTCTCTTCAAAAAGTTAGTGATCCTGTTTATGTTGCTCCTAATGAGCATGTCCAGAGTTTTGGTGGATCAGCTGATGTAGATGGCAGAGTTGTCACCAAAGGAGCTAAGCCTAAAGGTAATACATTGAAGTTGTTGGTTGCATTCTCATACTCAGATTCTTGTCAGTTTCCCAATGGAAAATCAAAGGCTCTGGTTAGAGATGATGCCAAAAGATCCAGAATGTGGGTTGTACAATATAATTTATGTATACAGGGTCTCTAACTAGAGTCTTTGATTTTCCCTTGGAAAGCTGAGGAGGATCTGGGAATAACAATGGGTCAATTGGTGGATGCTTCAAATTCTGTCCTCTTGGGTGTGGTTGCTAATCTAGCATTTTGTACATGTACCTTTGGCTTGTGCAACTATGACTCACGTCATTTGACTAGTATTGATCGAATTAAGGTCTAGACATATATTATGATAGCATACATTAATATGACTTATTTAATTCTGTCTGTTTTTCATGCAGGAATGTGCAGCTATCAAGTCCAAGTCACAACATCGCCTAATGGTGGTGTTTATGAGGTCACAGGTCATGTGACCAGCATGAATCCATATGTCAACCCTGAGATAAGTAGATTGGATGAATACCGTGATCAGCCCAAGTGCATCATGGAATCGCATCCTCATATGAGAAAATTCTGCTACTGTTCCATTTAGATGTGATGATGACATCACCAGTGTTTTTTTAATGTTGTTTTCATTGATATGTATTTGGAAGGGCGCAATTCAACACCTGACACACTTGACTCGCAACTTGTAATCTGGTTTTGGTTTTGAGTCAAGAATCAAATGCTACAACTGTTTGAATGTTGTCAGGCAAATTGTATGCCACAGTTGTAGTTCAAAATCATGTTTGTGTAAAATTTGCCTTTTACGTTGGGAGAAACTATTGCAACTAGTAATAGAATTATGTTCACAGATAACAAATAACAGTTCGCATTATATGTTCACCTTTATTCTTGATGAAAACCATAACCAATAACCAATATTTGAAGTGCAAAATGAGCTCAACAATTCTCTACACCATCCTGAAATGCAACTGTGTCTTGACACTGAACCAGTAAAAATGGTAGAAACCTTTGTTTGCACCCATACTTTTACACTCATGATTACTGATCGATCGCCTTTGGCTTTGATGATGCAGAGGGGTTACATTTGAAGATGGTGAATTGAACTGTAAAGACTTTTTTATAAGAATACTATTCTGTAGACACCTATTCTCAATCATTTGTTGAAAGTATTTACATAATATTTGCTGGATTTTATTTTATTTTATTTTTTCTTTGAATTATTCAAAAAATATAATATTATAATGTGATAAAACACGCTGTAAATACTATTTGTAAAGTTGGCAGGCTATATAACAATGTTTTTCATAGCTCAAGAAATTATACTAATAATGATGAGTGTATTATAAAAGCTCTAATAATATAAAAGATTTTATTTGATTAAACATGAAAGTCATACTAAGGAAAATAGATAACTGTCAAACAGTTTCATAATTTTTATGTTTTCTTTGAGGTTTTTCTTAACATTTGCAATTCTATTAGCATAGCTAAACACTGTTGTAAGTTGAGACAGAAATAAAATTCTTGAAAAGGCAAGTTTGTCCATATTGGTAGAGGTGGCAAATGGCACCTTCCGAAACATTCTTGGGTAATTTGTCTGTTATTGCATTTGAAGTCTAAAATTATTTCTCCTTTCTGCTTAATAATTTGTCTTGTCTCAAATTCTTCAGATAATTAAATTGATTGCTGTTCTCAAAATCTCACATTTCTAAATCAGAAGTGACAGAGTATATGAAGCTATAAAAGTTTTAGTAAAAGTCTCGAATAGTCAAATCTTATGTACTGTTAATATTATCACCACTACCATAACTTACTATAATCGTTGCCAAAAAACCTAGTCTCCTCACAGCTACGTTTAGTTTCGGTCAAGAGTCACACAACCTCCACAGGTTGCATGACCGAAACTAAACACAGCTGCGAGGAGACTACAAAAAACCTTGCACCATAGAATTATTTGTCTCCAGCCTAACATTTTCCTCCTTTATTTTTTCACAATTCCCCCCTTAATTCCCCCCTTTCATCAATGTTGGGTCTTGTTTTGGATGGTTGTGTTCTATCATGGTAACATGCTCAATGACAACATTGCATTTAATAGCAGAAGAGGGGGGATGAAATTGTCTGCATGTGTTGCTTAAAATGAGGAAATTCGCTGGAATGGTTCAAGGATTTTGTCAACGATTGTAGAGCAAACGCAGGAAAACCATTATATGCTTATATGCAGCATGCTTGAATTAATTCCTTTGTCTTTTCTTTTGTTGATGGCTTATGCCTATGTACTAGTGAAAACCAGGTTATACATCATGGTGCTTTACATTTGTACATTCAAAATATCAAAAATGAAAAGAAGGCACATAAAACCTCAAATTTTTACAGCAAAGATCTGCTTTTTACATTTCAAGATATCAGCTTTTAAAAACTGCAAAGTCTAGAGCAAAAATTCAAGAGTATAATGCCCACCACAGACATTTCTTGAGAAAAATTCAGCACTTGATTTCCTGAAAAATACTTAACCATTTATGCCTTAAAGATATAGGTAATTTGTGGAGTTGATTTTCTAGTAGCTCAATTAAATGTCTGAATTAACTAAAATATGTACAATTAAAATTAACTGATCTCACCTTTGGGTAATATTATATAGGTTTGCATTAAATATTAGCCTCGTTTACAACAAATTTCGCTTCTTTAAGTAACATATGATCTCCTGTTCTATTCCATGATGCAGCCTTGTTGAACAAGTTTTTTCATGCATTACAACAAAAATATACTTATGCAGCAAATGAATTTATGATCTTCAGTGCAAAGCTTTGCAAATGGCTGCAAAGCCTAATTTCTATATTCTCTATTGTGTACTCACTGTCAGCAGAGTCTCCAAATTAAAATCAACATTTCTTGTCAGAAATTGTGTCAAATGAAACTTTGCTAACAGGTTAAGGTTCTTTTAAAAATATGATTAATTCTAACATTCAAAGTATAATTTCAATGTATTGTAATTATTAGTTCACTTTCTGTATTGATTTATTCATTGAATAAGCTGAACGATGCAATTGGCGTATGACCATACGGGATGACACTTCCATGTCAGGGTCATCATGTGACACCTGGATTTCCTGTGTTGCTTGGACTTCTGCTGGTTCATTGTGAGTGATTCTCATATTCTTCAAGCCTTCAATAGCATCATCAAGGTCATTTGCCCAGGCTACTCTTTCTGATAACTTTGAGATGGGTTTTAGAGGAGTTCCTTGATGGATTTTTATTTTCTCCACCTTCACATTTCTGGATGACAAATTATTAACAAAAACAGTGAATAGTAGACAAAATACACAATAAAATACTGACTCATATTGTTTTATAGTATGAAAAGACAGAATAACTAATAGGCGGTAAAGTGTGGACATGTGGTCCCATTGCTGTAGTATCCTGTAGACACCTAATAATCAAAAGTGGCTGTCATTTGACTCCATATATGGAATGTGCATATATAGGGTCACTGTGATGTACATACAGAAGGCCCCTCATGTACATATTATACATATATTATGTAGAGAAGAACTTTCAATAATTTTCAAAGACTAAAATTTAAACTGAAAAGTATTTTTTCATAGTGTAAAACCCTATATTTACCTAAACCTGACAAGATAAATTCAGGGGCAGATCCAGGGGAGGTGCTTTGGGTGCTGATGCACCCCCCCCCCGCCTTTTCAAACGACATTTTTTTATATATCTCAGTATAAAAGTTTTTGTGCTGTTTATACTCCTGTTGTACTTTTATAAAGAAAATGCTAGCATGCACAACATGTGTCTATGCCACTATGCAGCTTTAAACAATCTATTTGAGTAAGTGTACTAAGTCAAAGATACCGTTGCAATAAAAGTCAATTTCCTTTTGGTCAAGTTGTGCATAATTTTTCTTGCTCTAGATAATACGCAGCTAACAAAAAATGATCAGTTCCATCTGCTATACTTAGTTGTTTTTTTTTTATTACTGACAAAAGCATCTCCCCTTATAAAATGATGAATTTTTTTGGTATCTATATAACACAATTCATGAATAACCACTTTTATATAAGACTGAATACATAATAAATGAAGTACATGTGAGAAGCCTTCTGTATGTGTCATCAGTGACCCTATATATATGTAGGGGTATAAAATGGTGTCTCAGAAATCGTGAGGCTCGCCAAAAATTTCCCAAGGCTCGCAAGCTCATTGCTTAAAAGGGACTCGGATTCAAAATCGCTTTTGGCTCGGAAGCTTACAATTGCTGAAATATTGGACTCGGAGCTCGCATGCTCGGAGAGGCTCGGATTTTACCATTTGATACCCCTATATGTACATCACCCCATATATGAAATCTTAACTTTAATTAAATCAAGCAAACAATAAAATATTGTTCATGGGTAACATAATTATAAATGACATTTGAGGGAAAATGAAGTGTGATGTCATTCTAATTTTTTCATGGTGAAGCTGGCTGCAGTTGTTTTCTGATCATACTTCTCATTTACATTTTGCTATTTATAGCTGTAACAATATTGTGCTTGGTTTTGTATAACTCCTAGTTAATAAATATTCAGTTTTAATAAGATAAGCATTAATTAAAGTAATATTAAGTGAATGAAAATTTACCTTTTGTGAAGTTCATCATTAAGATGTTCAGCAAGATGGACATTGTTAACATCACCATATTGTGCATTGATTTCACCAATGACAATATCATTCACTGTTCCCATGACTTTCTCAATTGATGCCGTTTCTTTTAAAATATACTCAATAACCTAATATAAACAATACATTGAAGGCATGCAAATGTGATATTCAAATAATATTTTGTCCAACAAAATGAATTTTATGGTGAAAAAAGATTACATTTAGCAATATTTAATCATGTTAGTCTACTTCCGGTGACGTCAGCTTCCGGTGGTAGGGTAGAGGTAATTCTATCAATTGAGGTGCCCTCTAGGTTTTTGTTTTTCCCGCCTTGTTCAGTTGGCACCTTGTTCACTTTGAATGCGATTCTAAGGTGAGTTGCACTCCTTTGTACAATTTTCCCTCCTCCTCCCCAGACCACCTCTTGCTTATGTCCCCTAAGTGCGGTTTTGAGCCCTCACCTTCGTGCAGGGATGTTATAGTATAGTTTGTACTTTTTATATATATTAAGTTTTATGGTTTTTGTCAACTGGTGTTGTGTTTTTGCCTGCACGAACAAGCTCAGCACATATTGCTTAATGCTAAACATTTTGGGGTTTTAATTTGATTTTGGAGCCATAAATGAAGAATAACATAGAATCATGATATAACATTAATAAAATTTATGAATCAATATTAAATCAGAACACTGAATGTGTTTTTAGCAAATGTATTATCTCATCTTTCTACACAATGCTGTAGGTTTTAATATATGACAGTAGTAGAGCAGTCTTCTTTGCTCTCATATCTTTTCTATCACACATGTTCCATAAATTGATAGACTAACTTAAACAATGGTGGGTTCAATGAAAAAAAACTTGAAAGTAAAATTCATAAACAAAGTGTATCTTTAACTGACAAAAGATTGATAACATACTATAAACCTCTACATGAACAAAACACAACAACAGTACTAGCTTGCAACACAGAGAATTACAGAATAATTAACCTAAGACTTTCCAATGTCCAAATTGGTAGCATAACAACCTTAGGGATTTATACTCTATCTCTACTCTATATTGGTGTATTGGTGTACTTACTGGACGTAGACGGTTGATGTCATTGATCTCAAAGTACCTGCCTCCAGTAATGTGAGTAATACCAGATAAAAAGTGATTTTCCTTTCTTAAGATGTGCTCATCCTTTTCGTTTGTTACTATACCAACAATATACAATGATGCACAAGATTCTGCTAGAAGATGGCAAATTTTCACTGGGTCAATGCCATGGTAACATTTGTAATGTTCCAGATTGGAAGATTTATCACTGAGGAAACCTGCAGGTTTGAAACAACAGTTTAAAAAATATAAAGAACTCATTAAAAATCATAGCTTTTTTCCTTCAAATTCCACTTTGTCTCAAGAGTAGCTAAAATGTGAGACACGTGTATGTGTAACTTGTGAGCAGTTGTTTGCAGTTTACAACAAATTAAACTGACTGGTCAAACCTGGATGGAACAGACACTCAGAAATTTTAACAATAAGAAATATATCACATTTTTAGATTACTTACACGTAAGTATGCAGACTTTGGTAGCTTGTGGCCGAACACTATTTGCCAAACCATAAGCACATCTTAATGCATCGGCAATCCCACTATTGCCTAAAGTTTGTGACCCACATTGCCCTCTCTTGGTAACAGTATCTGTTATGGGTAGACTTCCTTCATGAAAATCTTCACCTCCCAAAGCAATGTGTTCAAACTTGAGTCCCGTGCATGAAGGCTTTCTAGCTGAATGGTGCCCATATGTGATTAGTGAGATTCTCTTGTTGGATTCAAAGTTATTGATAGCCTCATCACACTGATCAGCAACTGCTTTGCAATGGTGTACGTTAACAGACCATGGCACCTCAATGGCAAGAATAATGTCTACCATTTCACTGGAATGTAAAATAGTGTCTGGACAAGTATTTCCTACATAAGAGTGATTGAAAAGTGCATTATTAAACACATGTGGACGACAATGTCTCCTTCACGGTTCCCTGCGCCATCTTGAAAAGTAGCCGTGCCTTTACATTGAAGCGAGATAACCGTTGAGCATGCAATGATAGATACCTGTGAATAATTGTTCTGTAGGTGTGATAGAAAGCTTCTATCATTACACGCTCAATGGTCGTCTCGCTATGATGTAAAGGCACAGCTACATGTACCTTTCAAGACTATTTGAAAATCCAGACACATCATGTAATTAAATATATGATTCATAGTGATTCCTTCAAAAATATCACACAGTCTACCCTCACAGCTTGATTCAGATTTGCAAATTGTTTTAATGTATAATTGTTTTGTTTTTAAGACATTTTACTGCTGCCGCACATACCTAAGACACTTCTCACTGCTTGACGAGGCCTTAATGTACATGGCTGCTTCATGCACACTTGTTTATCCTTTGATGTAATCATTATTGGTGACTGTTCATTTACTCGAAGTATTTGTACACCAAGTCTAGTTAACCAATCTTTCTTGTTTAATGCATCCTTTTGTAACTGCAATATCTTGTCTTCATTTGTATGTAGTGCATATGTCACATCAACACACCCTGATTGCAACCAGTCGACACTCCAAAAGAATACATCAATAAGCTCTATTGCCAGACCTTTTCCAATACACCTTCTTATTTGCTGAATGTTGTCATTAGTAAAAGGGCTTTTTCCACCAATGTTGACAATGAAATGTACCAAATATGACATTGCTGTAGAAAATACATAAAACAATACACATTATAATAAAATGTAAGAAGTTTAGTTCGTAAATTGCATGAAACTAAAACTATTTCACTGTAAGAAATGAAACTACCTATATTTCAGTATAGACACAACGAGAACCACTTTTTGGAACACACCGTGTCGAGGTTACAGTAAGTGTACATAGAATTCTGCAAGAATATATTTTTATCAGAACCATGTGACTCTTCTGAAATATTTTGCATCAATTTTTTTAGCATTCAGATTACATTCACATTATACTCTAAGAATTTTAAAAAAGGTCACTTTTTACATTTTTGAAAAAAAGATTTTAAAGTTGTTCTGTTTAAATTGCAACTTTCCCACATGTCTTGGTTAAACCACTGATTATATATTTAACCTATGGAAAACACATTTTTAAAATAAGATGTGGATAAACTCTGTTTTGAAACAAAGTTTCTTTTGTATCTAAATATTTTGTCTAATCATAACAACTCAAAACTAAGCCAAGAGATACTTAATTTGCTATGATGATCCCACAAATAGAATTTGCTATTAATAATTGAAGCTAAGAAAAGTTATCATAAAGTCTGACGAATCACACATATTTAATAAAATATCAAAATGTCAAAAATGTCAGATTTTAATGTTTTAATCAATGATAAATATTAAGGATGTATTATACAATACACAATTTAGCACCTTCTTGCCATTTGCTTCCCTATTCTTTTGGACAATGTTGTCTTATATAGTGTATGGTTAATATGTCGTAAGAAAATATAAAGAGAATACAGGACAATGTTAATTTGCATTTAAATAAGAATTACAAATACATGTCAAGGCTGAAAGTAACAAAATCTAAGGTGTAAATACTTGGAAATAATAGATTTTAGCTATCTTTTCTAATTTTTAATCTGTTGACAAACTGTAAAATTACAGCTTTTTGCTAACAAAGCACTCTTTACCTTCGTCACAGTATAGAATTGGAGTTCCTGTGGCTTCCTGTGGTGACTTGCGTCCAGCAAGCCCACGAGGTAGTCTTTTTGCCATTAGTGTTTTGCTTATCCTGTTACTCAACTAATAGAACAACTCAGCTAGCTTTTTATCATGTAAGCTCTCTAAGGAATTGTCAGGTATTATCTTCTATCCGTTTGTAAGCAGTTATTTACCTAGTTTAAATTTCAATGGAGGCTCAATTATTGCACAAGCAATCAGGAACTGCCCCGAGGTGCAGGTGACGGTTGGTGATGTCGATATCAGGCGTTTTGTTGACATAGGAGCAAAAGTGTCAACGGTTACAGAGAGCTTCTACAAGGAGCACCTTGCTCCAGGACGAGAAGTTGTTGATGTGACATCGACCATAAGGATTTCTGCATCCCAGGGTTTAGACATCCCTTTCATTGGAAACACGAGTTCCAAGTAACTGCTGTCTCACATCTTTACTGGCCTAGGGTTTTTAATTGTAAAGGATCCTGTTTCAACTCCTATGCATACTCGCAAGCAGGGAGTCCCAGGTGTTCTTGGATCAAACGTTCTTAGAGACATAAGCAAGCACTTACTCAAACTTTATGGTTCTAATTTTGTTGATTGTTTATCTAAAACTTTACCTGAAACTGAAAGAAGTCTTCTTTATGCATTGCAAATGTATAAGGAACCCATTTTTAATCAAGAAACTATTGCAGCAGCCCCATGACATGAAGTTAAAGTGTGATTTGTAACGTCTTGTGGATGTGCTTCAAGATGACCTTTATTCAACTTGTAAATGGTCAACATACAAACTAGATGTGGCTTGTAGTCAGCCATAAAAGCACATGGTTCTTACACAATAATCACATGACTGATCACGTGACATAGGTGCAGGTCCTACCCTTATACCAGCACGTTCCATTAGAGTTCTAGAAGGCTGTTTGCCCAACAGATGTCCCTTATACTGCCATTGTCGAGAGTGTTGAAGCACATGAAGCTGAATTACCCAGTGGTGTATCAGTCGGTTAAGCTGTTGTTACTGTTTCTTAACCATGGTCGGATACCCCTGCAAGTAGCGAATTTCAGTAATAAGGATGTCTATCTTCGACCACGAGACCCCATAGTGTTGTATTATGTAAATTTTAGTGACGTAAGAGTCACGTGATTGCGAGTAAAATCACTTGTCAAACCGCACGTTGGTCTGTGTGTTAACTTCCACTTCAAATCAACTTTTAATCCTAAAATACTTAATATAACACATAGCTATCATGTTAGCTGCTGAACATGAACCAACTGTTGACGTGGAGACAATTAATGAAAACCATGTGCTCTTACGAGAAATATCATCAAACGGAAACTCTTTACCCACAGCAGATGTTAACTCACTGTTAGATCAAATGGACATTGGCGATTAACTATCGTAAGTATATCCAGAAATCATTACAATGTGGAGTTATAAGAGAATCATCGAGTCCATATGCTTCACCCATTGTCCTTAAGAAGAAAGATGGCAGACTTAGAATTTGTGTTGACTATCGTCGGCTGAATGCGAAGACGCATAAAGATGCTTACCCCTTACCTCTCAGCAATGAAGCCTTAGATGTTCTCAAAGACTCAAAAATTTTCTGCAGCTTTGACCTAGCACATCGTTCCAATCAGATACCTGTAAAGGAATCCGATATTGAGAAAACCGCATTTAGGATAGGAACCGGAGGACTATACAAATATACACGCATGCCGTTTGGTCTTTGCAATGCACCAAGCACTTTCATGCGGCTTATGGACAAAGCTTTTGGTGACAGAAACTTCCAAAGCCTGCTTGTTTATATTCATGGTGACATTCTGGTATTTGGAAAAACATTTGAAGAAACATTGAAAGTTATCCTTCAGCAGCATAGTGAGTGAAGTAGAAAGTACAAAATGTAGCCGAAGCTGCTGGTTGTAGATCTTATTTACAATAAATTGTTCCAAGCTTTTGCTGTCTACAGCATCATCAGGGAATGAGAGAGATAGAATAAAAAACATAGAATTATAAGGCGAAAGGATCTTTTGTTCGCTTTTGACTGCTTCACCTAATATAATTCTTGATTAGAAGTAATGTATCGGTATACCTGTATAAAGACACGTGACTCGGGGTCACGTGTCTCCAGGCCATGCGGGAAAGAAAAGAAGTCTGTAGAAGTGTAATCGAACTATGTTGATGAATTAAATCGTACATATTTTACCTGGCATCCTTCGAGCCAATTCTAAGTTTTTTGTTCTATCTCGCCCATTTCCTGATCAGAGACCCTCTTGCAGGAATCGCAAGCAAGAATACAAGGCGTAGCACCTAAGATCCCATCTATATCAATTGATCCCAGAAGGATCTGAACTTGATGCAAACTGGTGATGTGTCAGTTAGCAGACTATGGCATTATTGGAAGTTACAACATGTTCCAACCGTGTGACAACTAATGAAAGAAGCCAAGCCTGCTCACAAGCTGCTTCGCGAATGGAAGAAAATAACTGAAGAAGACTCCATTCTTTCCCGTCTCATTCACATCCATGGGCAAGAAGTTAAGCAGCTTATACTACCAGAAGCACTTAAGAGCAAAGTGATGACCTCCCTTCACGACGACTTAGGACATCAGGGGATAGACAAGACCACAGCCCTAGGAAGGCAGAGGTGTTACGGGCCTGGTCATGTGAAATTGCTGAGTACTGTCGAAGTTGCACGGGGTGTAAAATATGTCCAAAGCAGGGAAGGCGCTGCTTCCAACGATGGGTTCCCTTACAGCCCGCACCCCCTAGAAGTTTTGGCTAAGGACTATACCCTACTCGAGAAAAGCACCAATGGATTTGAGAACGTATTGGTTCTAACTTCACAAAATTCACTCAAGCTATTCCAACTAAGGACCAAAAAGCACCCACCATCGCATGGACATTGGTATTTGGTAAACAAGCGTTTCACAAGATTCGGTGTGACCAGGGCAGGAACTTCGAAGGAAAAGGCAAGCATCCACAATTTATACCTGAGCTTGATTACACTTGTGTATGCTTATAACTCTACGCCACACTGGTCCATGGGCTATACGCCTTATTACCTGATTTCGGAAGACACCCAATTCTTCCAGTTGATCACTTGCTGCAAGCTGTAGAACAAGATGATGGAAATCTTTGTGTAGAGGAATGGATTGCAGATCATCAAAAAGATTGACTACTACATTCAGACTGGCTGAGCAGAACACAAAGAAAGAAGCACTCAGACGTAAGAAACATAACAATGCCAAAGCTGATCAAGATACTAGGCTTCCAGTTGGTACCAGAGTTTTCTTAAGAAATGGTGTCGAAGGACGCAACAAAATACAGGACGTATGGGTCACAACACCCTAGAAAGTGGTCAAACAGATAGGTACCAGCAACACCTATAGGTGGATCTTTGTTTACAAAATTTTGCTAATTAGCATAAAGTTTAAATTAAAGAAAACTGTAAAATAAGTTTATAATGTAAAAGGGCTTATTAAGAACTATAAACTACGAAAGTTTGATGTCATTACACGGAATAATTTATGAGATATTAGCGTTTAAAGATGCTGAGTGGCAATTAGCTCATCTAGTCTCTCTACAAATTGGATTTTTTTAAACCGTTTTACGCAAAAAGTATTTCATATGAGAAGCTCAAAATTGCGTGGAAAGCTTATTGTGCTATGTTGTTTCAATATTCAGTGCTGATTTACTGATAGTTAGGTTAAAACGTTATATCCTTATGCTAATGATATGTTAATGAACAGAAATTATAATGAACAAATTATTCGCCTATATGGTAGAATCACTGGATGACAAGAAGACAAAAAAGACCATCTACGTTACTGATATACTTGATATACCGTACTGCATAACACACCTGAATAAGAACATTCAACTTGACAACTGCAAGCAAGAGCCAGCTGTGCCTGAGGAATCAACTCAAGGAGGAGATGTTGATGAGCATGTTATGTCGTCGGATGAACACAGCAGCAATGTTGATGATGAGGAACTTCTAACTGAAAAGAGTCTAGGGCAAGAATCAACCTTTACTTCTCAACAGGATACACCCAGTACAGAAAATCTACACGTACCAGCCCAGCTACCAAGTGCAATCGGGGAGAAAGATCAACCCCATGTAGAACAGCAACCCAATGTACGGAGATCTACCAGAAAGGGTGCAGGTCAACACTCAAATCCATACAACCTACCGAAGCCTGCAGTGGAACAGAACATTGCAACAGTGTCACCTGATACCCTAATACTTAACTCCATCGTACAATAAAACTTGTTAATACTATACAGTTGATGTCAAAGAATTCTCAAGGACATTAATTTATATGAACTCAACAGAAACATTGATAGTTACGTTTATAAGTAGTAATGCTACACCTTAGTATATTCACAGTATCACTGGTCAACTAGTTTAGGTTGTCAAGGTCTCCAACCTCCAGCAGGGAAGTATGTCACAGTATAGAATTGGAGTTCATGTGGCTTCCCGTGGTGACTTGCGTCCAGCAAGCCCACAAGGTAGTCTGTTCGCCATTAGTGTTTTGCTTATCCTGTTACTCAACTATTAGAACAACTCAGCTAGCTTTTTATGGTTAAGCTCTCTTTCATCTAAAGAATTGTGTTATCTCCTATTTGTTCAATGTATGATTTTAGGGTCTTTTGTACATATAAATAAACTTGTACTCAAAGTGAACCTGTCACAACCTCATAAAGCTATCCATTTGTGAAAACTTAAAAGTAGACGAATATTTATGGTAGATCTATAGGGAGGGGGGTTACATCGACCTGAACTCATTAATGCACAGGGAGCACAGCCTCTTTATCAGTGGCCCTCCCCTCTATATTTTACCGTTATTTTGAAGAGTTTATGTGAGAAGTGAGAAGTAATCTTCTTTGCTTGGTGGGGAGAATGTTACTTAAGAGCAGATGTCTACAAAGGTCAAACATATCTCGGCAACAGTCGAAAAGTCGATTTCACTCAAACTTTTTTCATTAAATGCCTGATGTATCCCAATCATTGTGGTGTAATTTATTTTAAAAAATTCTGTTTATTTTTGGAGAAAATTTTTTTTCCGTGAGACATATTGAATATGCTAATTTTAGAGGCTTTCGATCTCGTATTTCACGTGCCGTCATGTGACAGAAATCCTTGACCTTTCACATTGCTTTCAGAATATTTATGTAACATATTAAGTACTTCGTTCTAACATATTAAGTACTTCGTTCACTGCAATTATGAAAGATTGAAATTCAGTTTTTGATTTTTAAGGAAATGTTTGATTGACCCTAACTTTTTACAACTGAAAAATATGCCCTCTAAATAACAGCTTTTTAAACTATGTGCGATATGACTAAACGTAACGAGCTAATCGAGATTGACAAAGTCGAAATAACGCTTGTTTTAATGATGTAAAAAATTGTTTGTGTATTTGCTTTGTTTCTACGAAAATTGGAATCAAAGTTCCGTAAAATTCAGTTGTTTACAACAGTGAAATCTACAATGCGGCACATGAAGCCCATGTGCTTCTGTCCTGGGTTGCTAAAACAATTACAATTGTATGGGATTGTACAAGGATTCCTTCGCTATTCACTCGATCTAATTGAATCGTTGTACATTTGTCTATTTTGTACAAATGTTTTTTTTTCTAAATGTAACTAGACGATCATTGATCGCTTACATGGGCTTCCTGTAGATGCGACAATGGGTMAGCTGCCGCCATTGAGCTATAAGTATTTCATTTTCACGATACAGTCTTTGTTTSAAAYAAGTCAGGACRACCCTAAGCTATTTACTACATCACAATTTTTTACCGAACTGAACTCTAATTAATTAACTTAAGTACCTTGACTTTCTCAGTTTTCAAAAATAGCTAGCCCGACTTTACGCTCTAAGAGCGTCTAGATTATTCAAAATATGCAAATATTCGAAATATGTAAATTTGACCTGAAAGGTTATGTTATATCATAGTTTCGTAGTAGCTCCAGAGATAATAATAAACAATAGAAACGGTACAGTCTTTGCAGTTTTCTAAGTATTATAACTTTGAGTAATATTTTGATCGTTTGAATGATTCAAGAAGTAGTAAGAGCTTTGAGATCAGCGTTCTAGGGTTGGTTTCCTTCATTTTCTTGATCACATTGCTTTTCTTGGTCACAAACCAGGTCACAGTAGCTATAACGTGACTTAGATATCGCGATAAGACCACGAGGCCGAATGACATACGAAACAATACATGTCATGAATGAAAAGAAAGCGCTGATTGATTTTACTTCGACATCCCCATGGAAACTGAGACTGCAACGCATGCGCTATCGATGCGCTACCAATTTGAAGCGTAATATTCACCACCACGACGAAATCGCCAGTTGCATTTTAAGACGTGGACTTCCACAGGAAGCCCACGTAATTAGACGCTCCTGGAGCATGAAGTCGGACTTAAGCTTGTTTTGAAAATTGATCAAGACACGAGTGAAAAGATTATGATGTTATATTCTGTCTAATCATATGATTATATTATGAATGTAAATTATGATGTAGAATATATGTTTTTTTACTTCTAATACATAGTAAAAGAAAGAATGTATTACTTTCACTTTAATGTACTGTTCAAAACCGTTTATTCACACGAACAAAATATTCTTTTTGACTGCTGTCTGCAACGACTTCAAACAAAGTCTCTTCTTGTTCTAATTTGAAACTATTTGCCCAAACAAGACTGTCTAGTGCTAGAATTCAGTTTTGTAAGCATACTACTCGTACTTCTGATGCCTAGACTGATGCATTCTGATGAAATCACAGATACCACATTTGTAAACGAATAGTTTTTTATCACATAAAAGTGCAAGTAGAATCTAACATTTACTAATGATATTTTTACATCTATACGTTTGAGCTTCCGGTCATGTGTTAACACAGGCAACCCAAAATGCGACAAAATACATGGATAGATTGATTGATTGGCTAAAAGGAAAATCTTAAGTCGACCTAGCCTTCGGCTAGTCCGACTAATTAATTATATGAATAATAACGATGGCACGTGAAATACGAGATCGAAATTATAAGCCTCTAAAATTAGCATAATCAAATCTCACGAAAAACAAAATTCTCCAAAAATAAACAGAATTTTTCAAAACAAATTACACCACGATGATTGGGATACATAAGGCTTTCATGAAAAAAGTTTGAGCGAAATTGATTTTTCGTCTGTTGCCAACATTTGTCGAATTTGTTTGATGCTTACTGACATTCGCTCTTAAACTCAAGGAAACTCAAGGAAATCGCCTGAAACTTATTGTCGGCGCATTGCACAATACACAGGGTCCGAAATTGAAAAACGAAATTGATACAAAATTCTAACCTGTTGTTATTGATGTATCAGGGTCCGTGCAGGTCCTTAAATCATTGATTCAATGAAAAGTGCTTGAATTGAAAACTCGTTTTCAAGGGCACTTGAAACTCCTTGAAAATTTGAAAATTTCAAAAAAAGTCCTTGAAAACTCTTTGAAAAAGATGGATCTCTATCACGAAGCGCTAGCGATCTCTGAATTATTCCGTTTGGCTGAAGTTTTGAGGTAAAAATGCACAATTAGCATGATTTTGATGCCCCTTGAAAATACAATTTTGGTCCTGGGCTAAGCTTTATAATCCAGGCGAGAAATTCACGATCCAATAACACCACATAAACTCTTCAAAATAACGGTAAAAATGTAGAGGGGAGGGGTGGTGTACATAAGAACCACTGCTCCCTATATGGATACCCTTATAGAAATACCTTATAAAGTTGACATGTAAATGATTTTGCTTCGTATTGCATTTATGTCGCAAGTCTATGTTCTTACATAGTTCAATATTAACATTACATGTCACGGCCATTAATCACGGCATATACATGTATAAACATTTCTTGTGACCAGTCGTGCATTAATATATTTTACATGAATGTCTGAGTGTACCTGATGATGTTTCGGCTGGTACTTGAATGTAATCCACTGATTTAACTGTATATTTCTTCACTCTTTCAGCCAATTCCTGGCGTTTTGCCGTATTTAGTCCCTTAATGAGCAGATCCAAGTTGTTTTCAGACAAAAAGAAATGGTCATGTAAACATGTAAGTAATCTGATTCCACAGTTCTGTTCTTTTGGTCGTACTTGTTCTTCTAGCCTTTCATGTGGGTTAAAGTGATCTTTCAAAAGGAACAAGATTGTTTCGACGTCAATAGTCCTTAACTCTAGAGCAATGCCAGTAAGAAGAAGTCTGAAGTCGTTAATAAGAGATTTAGGTTTCAAAGAATCAGACTGTGCAGACGACGCCATCATCCCTGCACAAGTCTGACGATAAATCACCGTCTCATGCTTCTAGTACAGAACCATCCAAATGACAACGACATTTCATCTTCTCAATCAAGTCTTCGTCAGCACAGACAGCCCACAGAAGAAATCCATGCACGTGACTAATTATTCGCTTCCTGAATTATTCGCTTTCTCACGTCAGTCGTTCCAGATCACGCTCAACTTCCGCTCAACTGGAAACACTTTTTTATAATGGCTAATAAGTGATTATCTTGATATATATAACAAAACATTTTAAGCCATTAACTTGTTAGGTAAAGATGATTATATTATAAGTATAGTTTACAACATGAGCGGCCGTGTTGTATGGGAATTACAATCTCGAGCCGCAGGCGAGAGATTGTAATTCCCATACAACACGGACGCGAATGTTGTAAACGACTTATAAAACTCCAACACAAATTAACATGAACTACAGTGAGATAAATGACGAAAAATGACAAATAAGGTAACTGCTGAGTTTAGTCCCTATTAAGCATGCGCAATTTACTGCAACACAGAACATTTTGAATAATTATCCATCCCACATGGAAAGCAAGCCATCTGTTGCATAAGCCAGTTCTGTTATCCGTCTTTGATTGCTTCAAAACCTAGTGAAGGTCTATGATGCGACACTAAAACTGAGACCTTTGCTAGTGTTGGGTTGTCTCAAGGTGACGACCGTGTTGTAAATCTTATACAACACTAGTGTTGTATCACAGTGTTGTATGTGATTTACAAGTTCAATCACCTGATGAAATGGACAACCCTTATTGGAGTAATAGCTCATGCATTATTAATAAGTTTTATAATAATACTTTATACATTATACCGAGCGACCAAAATCGGCCGTTAAAGTTAACGGCTTAAAATGTTTTGTTATCTTCATACATTATACCGAGCGACCAAAATCGGCCGTTAAAGTTAACGGCTTAAAATGTTTTGTTATGTACATACTTTATACCGAGTGTCCAAAATCGGCCGTTAAAGTTAACGGCTTAAAATGTTAACTTTACGGCCGATTTTAGTCTTTTCATATACCTATCAAAACATTTTAAGCCGTTAAGTTTAACAGCCGATTTTAGTCTTTTTCTATACATAACAAAACATTTTAAGCCGTTAAGTTTAACGGCCGATTTTAGTCTTTTCATATTCCTATCAAAACATTTTAAGCCGTTAAGTTTAGTGGCTTAAAATGTTTATATATACATAACAAAACATCTTAAGCCGTTAACTTTAGTGGCTTAAAATGTTTACAGCCTTTTGTACAAATTATGAGACATTTTTATATATATAAATATACAGCCTTTTGCAAAAAATATGAGAATTGTCTAAATATCTAAATATCATAATATCCATATCCATCTATTGTCCGGAACACGCGGGTTTGCTAGAATAATTCATTGTTGACATCAAAAAAATGTTCAGAACTACGAATAAGTCCGTCGCCAAAAAAAAACTAAACTACAAAGACAAGGGACTAAGGGCATCGCGCGGGATTACCCATCATGCACTTGATATTATGATATTTAGAGATTTCGACAATTCTCATAATTTTTGCAAAGGGCTGTACCTAACCAAATATCAAAAACACCCAAGAAATTATGGGATACCGTCGCTAATATTTTGTCTGTAACAACCTGATGCTAGGCAATCATGACAAAATATAATAGAGATATACCATAATTTCTGGGGTGTTTTTGATATTTGGTTAGGTATATTTATATATATAAAAATGTATCATAATTTGTGCAAAAGGCTGTATATATATTTATTATATATATAACGAGACTTTCATAGAGTAAATGGCATAAATAGAAATCTATATGCTATATTTTCACATGTGAAAAAAGCGATATGTCCAATCAGAA